CATAGATTTGGTCTTTTCATGGTGTCCCACATCTCTTGCATATTCCATTCCTGTTTTTTTTTTTTTTTATTTTCCATACTCTTTGCTTGAGTAGTCCAGTTCTTCAACTTTATCTTCTGGGGTTGATATTCTATTTTCCATTTCATTCATTCTAGAGGTGAGGCTTTCCCCTGTTGTTTTAAGTTGGCTTATTGAGTTTTGCACTTCCTTCTTCATTTCTGCCTGAATTTTCTTCAATGTTTCTATCTCTTTTGTGAATTCATTCAGAAGTTTATCCCTATCTTCTTTTAGCTCTTTGATTTGATTGTTCATGTGTTCTTTAAATTCATTGAATTCCTTGATCATGTTTATGATTGTTCTTTTAAGTTCAGTGTCCTGGGTAATCTCTAAGGGGTTCTCCTTGTAGAACTCTTCTGCAGGATTGGGGGGGTTTGCTGGGGACATAGTGTTTTGGCTTTCCATTTTATTATTCTTTCGTCATGGTTTTGGCATGTGAATTTCTTTTGTTTATGATTCTGATATGAGAATTAAGTTGAAGTATGCTTCTCTTTGTATTATCCGGGTGCCTAGATCCTTTCTTTATTGGTTATGTAAAGTTGGTTGGTACAGGGTTCAGGTTCGCTCAGGTATATTTTGGAGGGAACTGATGGCTTCAGATCAGCCAATCAGGGGTACCCACAGAAGCCCAATTCAGGTTCTAGTCAGGTACTCTCAGGCTTCCTTCACCATGTGGAGGCAGGATCCTGTATCTCTCAGGCAGTCCTCTGCGTTGTCTACCCTATGCCAGAGGGAGGCGGTGGGGGTGGGTGCAGAACTCTCTGGCGGTCTGCTGAGATCCTAGCCTTAGCCTACCAAAGGCCAATCTGCCCTGGAACCTTGGGAGGGGTCTCACAAAATCCCAGGTAGGGGAATGGTATGGCGCAGTTAGGAGAAGCTCACCACCATGTGGAGGCAGGATCCAGGGCCTGTTAGGCTGTCCCCTGGGTTCTCAGGCCCTCTGGTAGTTGGAAGCCAGAGGGAGGCTAGAACCTGGCACTCTCTTTGGCAGTCTGCTGAAGCTCCAGCTGCTACCCCGATGGCGGTCTGAACCCACTCTCTCAGGTGCTCTTTTTTTTTTTTTTTTTTTTTTTAAATGTATATCGTGTATGAGTCTGTGTGCGTGTATGTTGTGTGTGTGAGTACCTGTAGAAGCCAGAAGAGAACATTGGATCCCCTGGGGCTGGAGTTAAAGGCATTTGTGAGCTGCCTGATGTGGGTACTGGGATCCAGACTCCATTCCTCTGGAGTAGCAATTGCTCTTAACCACTGAGCTTTTTTTCCAGCCCATCGTTTCATATCTTTAACAACATCTTTTGGAGAAAAGAGCGCCTTAATTTTGACATCTTTTCATAGATTATATTTTTTGGTGCATTATCTAACTTTTATTTTTGGTGTTGGAGATTGAACCCTGGGCCTCATGTGTGCTAAGCAGAGGCTGTTCATCTGAGCTGTACTCTCATCCTCTGATCGTAGAACGCTCTACCTAAGAGAAGGGAAGACAAAAGGACTTGGCTCCTGTGTTTTCTTTAGGTTTTTTAGGTCTTACATTTAGGATATGCTCCATTTTTGGTTTATTTTCGCATACAGTATGAGCATAGGTCAAGGTTTTTTGGTTTTGTGCCTTTAAAAAAAATTGTATTTGGATATCCAGTTATTTAGCACCATTTGTTGAATAAGTAAAATGGCAGTGGATGTTATGCAGACTTCTTCCTTCAAGAATACCTAGTAGTTTAAAGACAAGTATCTGAGAAACATGTACCCAAGAACGTAGAGATGAAAAGTTTGACTGTATCTCCTGGAGGGAGTGGAGTGGATTATTATGCTTGAAGTGTAACGGAAGAGTGAGCACTGGAGCAAGATTGGCCGCTGCTATATTATGAATAATGAAATTTTAACAACTACAGAGTTGGCTGGAGAGATGGCTCAGTGGTTAAGAGCACTGGCTGCTCTTGCACAGGATTCCCAGTACCCACATGGTGGCTAACAACCTCTGTAACTCCAGTTCCAGGGGCTCTGACGCCCTCTTCTGCAGGCATTGTTTGACAGGGGTGCACTTACACACATGCAGTCAATACACCGATACACGTAAAATAAAAATAATAAAAATATTTTTTAAAATACAGAGTTATAGTTTCTGAAATAGTGCTAAGCATGAAAAAGAAGGTGTCTATAGTGTGGTTTTCCACCTGCCAGCTTTTATCTCTTTGTAAGTCCAGAATATTTCTTTGTTGTTTAAGTGGAATAATATGGAAAATACTGGAATGTGTCATCAATACAGTAAGAATGTGTATTTTATGTTTTTGCTGTGGACTATAATCAGAATGGTTTGAAAGCCACTCTTCTAGAATGACCAGTTTATTTGTGATGGAAAACAATTTAAAATAGTATCCTTTATGTTTTAGGTGTGAGTTCTTGATACGCATGAAAGGGCAGGAGTTTGTTGATGAGATTCAAGCTAGATATCCTCATCTTCTTGAACAGGTAAGCAGGTAAAATTAATATACAAGGGCTGGAGAGATGGCTCATTGCTTAAGTGCTTACTGTGCCAGCATGAGAATTTAAGCTTAGATCCCAGTACCCATGTAAAGAACCAGGTTTGGTTATGACCCCAGCACTAGAAGATGGACATATGTGGATTCCTAGAGCTCACTAGCCAGGCAGTCTAGCCATTTGGTGAGTTCTGGATTGAGTGAGAGAGACCCTATCTCAAAAATAAGGTAGAGAGCTATTGAGAAAGATACCCCATGTCTACTTCTACTGTCTTAGTTACATTCTGTGGCAAAACACTCTGACCAAAACCAACTTGGTGAGGAAAGGGTTTATTTGGCTTACATGTCCCATCACAGTAGTTCATCCTTGAGGAAAGCCAGGGCAGGAACCTGGAGGCAGGAGCTGAAACACATACCCTGTAGGAATGCTGCTTACTGGCTTGCTCCTCTGGCCCTGTGCTCAGCCTGCTTTCTTACACAACCCAGGAACCCAGGACCACCTGCTTGGATGTGGCATTGCCCACAGTGGACTGGGCCCTCCCACATCACTCAGTAATCAAGAAAATACCTCACAGACATGCCCAGAAGACAGTCCAATAGAGGAAATTCTTTGATTGAAGTTCCCTCTTCCCAGGTCTGTCAAGTTGACAACCAAAACTAACCATCACATGGCAATCTCTGACCTTCACACGTATGCCCACACATTTTCACACCCACAGGGATGCATACATATACCCTCCACACACAAATAAAACATTGAACTATGCTAATTTCAGAAATAATTAGAAGTGAGATGTGTGTGCGTGTGTGTGTGTATGTTATACACACACACACACAGACAGAGTATTGGAGTTTACTAGAGATTTCCATAGATTTTAAGCACTAGAAAAATAAAGGTGCTTAGAAAGAAGACATACCTGAGAATGTGGGTATACAAGTCTCAAGGTCATCTACTTCTAGGTACATGTTTTGTAGCCATGTTAATGGCACCCCAGATAGATTTGCTACCGACTTATTCAAGGCTCCTTATAAAATGTAGGTTTTAGTTTTAGCTTTAAAAAAAATCATATATCCTGTCATTGTATAGATTTTTATGTGGTTAAAGGTATCTTCGATGTCTCTTTGGTCTTCAGAAAAACAAAAAAATAACTTGTTAGGAGTTGAGACCTTTTGAGAGTTACCCACCTGAAATACTACTTTCCAGGTGGATTAAGAAACTGCTTTGTGTCTTCCTGTTCTACTGAAATGGAAGATGTACTTGAACTCTAATTTGGAAGTAAAGTTTAAGGATAGTAATATTCTAATTATGACAGAGCAAAATAAAGTAGATATGCATTTATGTATAATTTATTTTGGATTTTTGAGACAAGGTCTCATATAGTTGGGGCTGTCCTTGAACTCTTGATTCTTGCCTCAGCTTCCCAAACAGCTGAAATTGCAGGAGCTCCCCACCACACCTGGTTTAAAGTGAAGTATTTAAATTACCCAGTTTCCAGAGGGTAAGTACATTTACTTAAAGTAAATGTTGTCTGTGGCTCAGTCCTATAATCCCAGTATTTGAAAAGCTGAGGCAGGAAGATTGCTGTGAGATCTAAGCCAGCCTCAGCTACAAAGTGAGACCCTATCGAAACAAGACAAACCCCTTGTCTTACTCTACATATTGTTTGAGATTTCTGGTTTTACCTATTCACTTTTCTTTTATAGCTGTTGTCAACTTCGGACACTCCTGAAGAAAATCCTGACCCTCCTAGTATGTATGAACGCTCTTAACTTTTAGATGGTGAACTTTTATAAGACTATTAGAAATGAATGTGTAAAGAAGAAGGGTAGTGGCCATTCTGAAGTCATGGGAGATACTGGGAAGTTAACTAGCAAGTTTGTGTGTCTGCTAAGGTTTGTGACATTTTAAGAGTTTAGGGCATTTGTCCTAGTCTCTAAACTGTTGACATTTTTAACTGAGGAAACAAGACACACACAAAAAATAACACGTAGCTCAAAGCAGGGCAAGTGAGAGGCACAAATAAGGGCTTCCTCAGAGAGGAAAAGGCTCCTGTGAGCTAGAGTGCTTTAGGAAGGTCCCGTTTACAGGTGATTTAAGAATTGGGCTAGATGTAGGCTAATTCAGTGCAAAGCTGTCTTTGGATTAGAAGTGGGATGATGTCAGATTTGTAAGTGGGATAGAAAGATGACCACGATAGGGCTGGAGAGATGGCTTAGTGGTTAAGAGCATTGACTGCTCTTGCAGAAGACCTGGGTTCGATTCCTAGCATCCACATGGCGGCTACGAACCGTCCTTAACTCCAGTTCCAGGGGAATCTGAAGCCCTCTTCTGACCTCTGCGGCATTACACGACATGGGTGCACTCACATACATGCAGGCAATACACTCATACACATAAAATAAAAATAAATTCTTTTTTGAAAAAGAAAGATGACCAAGATAAATAAATCATAGTAACCATGATTCAAGGGTAAGGGATTTGGTCCTATTTGAAAGGAAGGAGGAACTATGTGGTAACCGTCTTTGTATAATGGAGCTGGGTGAGTGCTTCCTGTTCTTAGTGTTGGTGATGCTGGTGCTGAGACTAGAATCCAGGGCCTTAATGTGTTAGGCGCATGCTGTGCTGTGCCACATCTGCAGCCTCTTAAAATTTATAAACACAGCTGCCCAGTGGGCTGCCCTGTGTTCTGCCTTTGTTCCCTTATGAAAGCACTGTGTCAATCTTCAGAATGACTATTTCACATTTTCTTCACAAATATCTTCTCATCATAAATTTCTTTAAAAAGCATTCTATGTGTGCACGTATTTGATGTATGTGGGCATGTATGTGCCACAGCACACGTTGTGGAAGTCAGAGGACAACTCTGAGGGGTTGGTTCTCTCCTTTTCCCTTTCCTTGGGTTCCAGGGTTCAAACTCCACAGTCTGGCATGCAGGAAAGTGCTTTACCTGCTGGGCTACCTTGTCAGCCCTCTAAGCTCTGTTATTTAGCTTATAACTTCACCTTGCAGAGAAAATAAATGAGTGAAAAGAACCTTTTTTCTCCTTTTCAAAACTACTAGTCTTTGTCTACTCTCTTCTCTGTTCTTAATTTTTTTTTTTCTATTTTGGTGGTTTTGTTTTTGTTTTTGTTTTTGTTTGTTTTTAGATAGGGTTTCCCTGTAGCCGCAGCTAGCCCGGAACTCTCTCTGTGGACCAGGCTGGCTTCGAACTCATAGAAACCAACCAGCCTCTGCCTCCCAGATGCTGGGATTAAAGGCTCTTATTTACATGGTTTCATAATATGGCCCATACTGGCTTTGAACTTGGGATCTTCTGGGCTCAGCCTCTGAGTGCTATATTACAGGAATATACCACCACACCTGGCATCATCCTCTGAATTCTGTCCCTTACTGTTAATTTGTAAATGTTGCTTTGACGGTGCTTTACCCTTCTCTTTATCCTGGTCTCTGAAAACTACTGTATTATATTAGTAGATCTGCTACTCTGTCTGATACCAGCACTTGATAGAGTTGAGTGCTTCTGAGACACTGTCTCAGTGTGTAGCCTTGACTGGCCCTGCACTTGAGATCTTCATCTTAGCCTCCCCAGTGCAGAGGTTACAGGCACACTTTACCACACCAGGGTTTTGTCCTTCCTGAGACATCCCCTTTGGTTGGCTTCCCTGACATCACAAATTAAATCTCAGGTCAATCCCATCTTTGGGCCAAAATAAGTATCTCAGTAAATTGACCAAAACACAAGTTTTCCCCGCCTCCTCAGATGCACTCCTTCTCTGGCCTTCATCTCAGTTTGTGGTAGGTACTCGGCTACAGAGTTTGTTAGGGTTTAAAAGTTGGTATCATACTGTTTCTATGTTTTGAGTCTCTTAGAAATCTTTATTCTACCTTTACAACCTCTCCCAGATACTCACCATCTCTACCAGTGTCAGCCTAACCCACACCAGTTTTCTTCTGCCCTAACAGTGCTCCCTGATTCCAGTTTGCCCCAGAGTTCATGTCCACAGAATTCCCAGTCACCCTTTGAACACAGAAGCCAAATTTTATTAGACCGCTGCTCTCAAGACTGTCGTAGAGTATTCTGGAAACTTGGAATAGTGTGTGAACTCTACAAAACTCCATGTTGTTTGAGTGCTGTCCTTGCTGACCTGCTCCTTCCAGTCCTCACCAGGGCAGCTTTGTTGTCTTTTAAGATCTTTTTACATTCTTTGAGTATGAAATGCTCTTTGAGACATTCACATAGATTACTTCATCATTTCAGTTTTAGAGTTTTACTTGTTGGTTTTTGATTTTATTTGGGGGGGGCGGGGTTTGCTGGGGATTACAGCTCTGTTTTGATATTATCTCTTCAGATGTACTTTTGACCAGGCTTGCTCTCTACATATTTTTGACATTAGATATTTATGTTTACTTAAGTTTCCAGCAGATGGCAGTAAAGTGTCTTGGAAAATATGATTATAATTTAACAGAAAGACAGTATGACCGTGCATTGACTCTGCTAATAGAAAATGCTTCCCTGCTGGGCGTGGTGGTGCACATGCCTTTAATCCCAGTGCTAGGGAGGCAGAGGCAGGCGGATCTCTGTGAGTTCAAGGGCAGCCTAGTCTACATAGTGAGTTCCAGGGCAGCTGGGGCTACAGGGAGACCCTGTCTCAAAAAGACAAAAAAAAAAAAAAAGAAAAAAGAAGATGCTTCCCTGACCACCCTGTCAGAAGTGGCCTCCTGCTTCCTGTTTTCTTTCCATTAACTTATAGTATACCTTTTTTCTTCATAACTTTTATCTATATCCAAATTTTTTTTTTCTCATTTATTTATAACTGCGTTTTCATTATGTCTTTACTGTACGTAGCCTCTTTGTTACTTTCTCTGTCTTAGTTAACTCCATTTCCAGGGGATCCGACTTACCCTTCTGGACTTGGAGGGCATTGTATGTCACAGGCACACTTACATACATGCAAGGAAAACACATAAAATAAAAAAATATATATATTTTTTTAAGAGCTTGTTTAAGTCTTTGTATATGAGTGTCAGGGATGGAACCCAGGACCTTATCCATGCCATCCCCAAGTCTATTTCCTTAAGGAATCTTTACAGTTTCCCCCTATTTTCCTGGCTGGAAGTAGTTACTCACTTCTTTATCTTTGTGGCACATTGGTTTAAAAAAAATGAATGCATATCAGAATCATTTGGGGTAATATTTTTAAATTACTTATTTAATTTATTGGTGTGTGTGTGTGTGTGTGTGCGTGTGCGTGTGTGTGCATGCACACATGTCATGACAGGTGTGGAGGTTAGAAGACAATTTTCAAGAATCATTTCTCTCCTACTGTGGGTTCTAGGCATCTGTCTCAGGTAGTTAGGCTTGCCAGGTTTACCTGCTGAGTTTAGCCTGCCTGATTTTGGAAGAATTTTTAAAAATTGTTTTTTAAGATTTATTATTTTTATTTCATGTGTATGAGTCCTTTGTCTACATGTATGTATGAGCACCACATGCATGCAGAGACCCTAAGGGGGTGTCAGATCCCGTAGAGCTGGAGTTAAGGCAGTTGTCAGCTGCCATGTGGGTGCTGGGAATCAAATCTGAATCCTCAGCAAGGGCAGAAAGTGCTCTTAACCAACCATTGAGCCATCTCTGTAGCTCCCCCAGTTTTTAAAAATTACATACATGTATTTATTGTGTTTACATAGGTGCATGTGCCATAGTATGTGTATAGAAGTTAGAGGACAGCTTGTGGGAATTGATTCTCTCCTTCCATCATATGGGTCCTAGGGATTGAATTTAGGTTGTCGGGCTTGGCAGCAAGTACATTTACGTGCTGGGGCATCTCACCAGCCCTGGAGAAATGTGGTGGTGGTGGTGGTGGTAGTGGTGGTTTTGTTTGTTTGTTTGTTTAGTTTTGATTTTTTGAAACAGGATCTTACTTTCTAATCTTGGCTGGCCTGCAACTTGCTATGTAGACCAGGCCTCGAATTCACAGAGGTCCGTCTGCCTCTGCTTTCGAAGTGCTGGGATTGAAGGCATACACCACCATCCCCTGCAAATGTACATTTGTGTGTGTATATATGTGGGGAGGGGGACAGATTGCGAATGAAACCTAGACCCTCATGAATGCTAGACAAGCACTCTACCACTGAGCTCCAGCCCTGGCCTCTCCTGGAGACATTTTTAGCAATTCAGATTCTTAAGCCTATTTCCCAGAGATTCTTTTTATTAAGTAGGGCTAGGATTTATGCAATGTAGAATGTGATTTTTTAAAATACATAGCATATTGACTATACTCTCATTTAACCATTATCAAGTTCAAATTTTATTGCAGTTACAGATAATTAATGAGTATAGTATGTTTTCCTTATTAGGCTATGAGAATAAAAGCGCCATAGTCACTTTTTTCCATAGTTTACATTTTGTGGAATTTAATAGTAGCAAACTGTGCTTTCAAACAGTCGTGCATTTTGGCTCTGGAGAAGGCACTTCAGAAGATGCGGTCATGATGAACACACCTGTGGTTAAAGCGGCTTTGGAAATGGGCTTCAGTAGAAGCCTGGTAAAACAGACAGTTCAGCGTCAAATCCTGACCACCGGCGAGAACTACAAAACCGTCAGCGATCTTGTGTCAGCACTTCTGAGCGCTGAAGATGAAAGAAGGCAAGAGGAGAAGGAGAGGCAAGCTGAAGAAGCAGCTTCAGGTATTTCGGATGCTAGTTACCTCCATTGTTGATCAGTGTGGCTCCTAGGACTGTCACATATATTAGAGGGCGGCACCCTGGTCTCATACCCACAAATTGTTGGTGCCATCCCCCGACCCCCAGGCCTTAATAAACTGCCTCTTTGCTCCTCTTAACAGCATTTTTCTGGAGCCCAGAATGGCTTAATGAATTTGTTACCAGGGCTGGCCTTGAACTCCCGATCCTCCTGCTTCCACCGCCTAAGTGGCTGGATTACAGGTATATGCCCCAATACCCAGCTTTATAATAAACTTTTCTTGAGCTATAATCACCTCTCTTCCTCATAAATAGCTCAATTGTTTTTTAAAAGTAAGAGTTAAAAATTGATTCAGAGCTGGTTGTGGTGGTGCATACTTACATTCTTAGCATTCAGGAGGCTGAAGCAGAAGTATCCCAACCGAGTTCAAGGCCAGCCTAGGCTATATAGCAGAAACCTATTTTTAAAAGTAAAACCAAAAGCAAAGATTCAGATCTTTTCTCTACTTTTTAAGTCTGCTTCAAGTCTGATTTCTAATATGTTATTTACCTAGTAAACCTTGGTAGATGATCCTTACACAAAACCTAGAGCATAGGATGGCATCCTCAGTCTTGGTGACAATCCTTGCCCAGCCCAAAGATAGCAAGGAAGTGATTTCGGTGTTCATCTGAATTCTATTACATCTTAGCCTCCCCAAACAAGTCCTTTGGTCAGTTATTTCTTCAACACGTTTATAAATATTTAAATACATACTAGAACTAAATAATGTGGAAATGGTGGTGATTCTTAAGGAGTAAGTAGTCAAACTGGGAAGACTGGGATGCCAAAGGCAGGGTAAAGAGCTGGCCAAGGACCAGTGAGATGGCTACTGAGCCTGATGATGTGAGTTGGATCCCTGGGATCCACATTCATGTAGATAGATAGAAGAAAAGCAGCTCCTGCAAGCTGTCCTCTGAACCTCCATACTCACGCCAAACAAAAACCAGGAGCCAGTTGAGAACTGAAGATTTGAATGGAGTGCTGGGTTAGGAGATGCTTTTCTTTTTAAGCTTTTAAGTAAAGCTAGAAATGGTTTGGGCCAGTGGGGACACTTGCTGCCAAGCCTCACAATCTGAGTTCGATCCCAGGACCCATATGTTGAAAGGTGAGAACAAACTCCTGTGACTCCAACAAGCCATTCCTGCTGTTCTGTGTCTCACCATCTCGACATGAGGGTCAGCAATACTGGTTTGTTTAATTGACAAGACTTTTTGAATGAGACAGTTTGTGTGCCTGTACTCATACAAAGTAATGTAATGTAAATAAAAGTATTTTAAATTCTGTGGTGGAATAGAAAGGGGTTACATTTTTTACTATTCTTAAATTTTCTGCTTATTTTTTAACAAAATAAAGGAGAAATCCTAGGATGTATTAGTATCTATCAACTCAGCAGAGTTCCTCTATGTGCTATATAATATCTTAGTTTAATCTTTGGAAGTTTTCCAAATGACAGACGTTGATGTGCAAATAAGTCCTTCATGTTCTCCAGTGAGGAAATTATCCCTAGGGTTGTTTGGTAGTGACTGAGTGCAATTGGAGGCATTGGAAATTTAATGGAATTTTTTTCTTGCTTGTTTTTAAATGAAGGCGACTTGTCATTAATTCGGAAGAACAGAATGGCCCTCTTTCAACAATTGACATGTGTCCTTCCTATCCTGGATAATCTTCTAAAGGCCAATGTAATTAATAAACAGGAACATGATATTATCAAACAAAAAACACAGATACCTTTACAAGCAAGAGAACTGATTGACACCATTTTAGTTAAAGGAAATGCTGCAGCCAACATCTTCAAAAACTGCCTAAAGGAAACTGACTCCACATTATATGAAAACTTATTTGGTGAGTTTGCTGGGAAAATTATTTAGATATCCACAGGGTTTTGTTCATCTCTGTTGAACAAGCAAAATAAATCCAATTACCAAACTATAATCTTTACATTTTACTTACTCAATAATAAAGTGGTGTCTTTTATTACCCATGTAGTATTCCTGATCTATGAGTAGGTAGTAGGTAGGAAAAAAATAGTACGTAAGAAAGTTCTGTATTTGGTAGGGTGATGCTTATTTCAGTATGCTTTCTTTCTTCAGTGGAAAAGAACATGAAATACATCCCAACAGAAGATGTTTCAGGTAAAATAGAATTAGGATGTAAAACCAACATAATTACTACTTTTTTTTTTTTTATCTAAAATGGAAGCCAAATTTCACTAAGTTCTTTTTGTTACTAGGTTTGTCATTGGAAGAGCAACTGCGGAGATTGCAGGAAGAGCGAACATGTAAAGTGTGTATGGACAGAGAAGTTTCTATTGTATTTATTCCTTGTGGACATCTGGTGGTATGCCAGGAATGTGCCCCTTCTCTAAGGAAGTGCCCGATTTGCAGGGGTATAATCAAGGGGACTGTTCGTACATTTCTCTCCTAAGTGAAAAATAAGCTGGGTCTTAGCCTGTACTGAGATCTTTAAAGTATTCTTGGACACCAGAAGCCGTCTGAAACAAAAAATGAATAACTGGTTCTTCAGCTAGGACATTCATGTCTGTTCTGCTTGGGACTTAATCTTGTTCATGAAAGGTAGTATTATATATTTAGTATTACTCTGTTTAGTTGCAAGGGAAGGTGTATGTTGGATGAGGTAAAGCATATATGTTTGAGCACAGGAGAAGTGATGGGGTGATGCCAGTTGTGTCATTTTAGGAGTTACTGGACTTGATATTCTTTGTAAAGACGTTGGTACCAAGGCACAGTGTAGCGTAGAACTGGAAACCCAAAGCTCTGGAATTCAGCGGAGCTGGGCTGCCACATTCTATTTGGTGCTTTTCACTTCTGTAAAGTAAGGATTTTTCTGTTACCAGTCGATAAAATTCTCCCTAATTTGTGAAAAATATCAATAAAGTGCTTTGAAAAGGCTTCAAATATGTTTTATACCCTGATTTAAAAAGTATTTTGGGGGGCTTTAGAGATGGCTCGGGGTGGTTAAGAACACTGGTTGTTCTTGCAGAAGACCCAGGTTCGAATCCCAGCACCCACATGGCAGCTAACAACTGTCCATAACTCCAGTTCCAGGGGATCTAACAGCCTCTTCTGTCCTCTGTGGGCATTGTACGACACGGGTGCACTTACCTACATACAGGCAATACACACATACTCATAAAATAAAATATTTTTTAAAAAGTATTTTCATATATCTTTGTTGTACTCAATTGCTGTTAAGTAAAAACAGTTGGATTCATGAAAAAAAATTATTTTTAAAGGTTGTCTTAGTTTCTTCATTGCTGTGACAAAACAACTGACCACTACCAACTTGGGGAGGAAAGGGTTTATTTGTCTTATATCTCCTGGGTCACAGTTCATCAGGGAGCCCAAGGTAGGAACTCAGGGCAGGAACCTGGAGGCAGGAGCTTGAATACAGGCCATGGAGGAACACTGCTTATTGGCTTGTTCCCTTGACGCATGCTCAGCCTGCTTTCTTACGCAACATAGGCCCACCTGCCCAGGGGTGGCACCACCTACAGTGGGCTGGGTCCTCCCACATCACTTATCAAGAAGATGCCCCTCTGACATGGCCACAGGCCAGTCCAGTAGAGGCAGTTCCCCAATTGAGGCTCCCTCAACCCAGGTATGTCAAGTTGA